CTCGTTTTCTCGCTAATCTGTCTTGAAAGTGGTGTGGGGGGGGGGGGGGGGCTGTCAGGGGTCCATTGACCATTAATGGTGGCCCCAGCAGTGCCAAATGCCCTATACAGCTGTGGCACGTTTCCATTAAACAGCCAGCATCTAAGCCTGAAGGCCTGCCAGTGCATGTGACAAAAATATCCACATTCCAAGAGTACAAAAACACACCAAGTCCCACAAAGCGTCCGCAGAGTTTTCTGTGTGATCGCCACTCTCCTGCCCTGAAATACGACACTGTCTGATCTATAAAGGTCTTATTTATGTATTTTTGAGGGTTTTGATACTTTTAATTTTCCCCTGGTGTTCACAAGAAGCACGAGAAGCATTCATGAAAGCTTTTCAGGTGTCCCTAAAATGTTCTATGACTTATGGCGGGACCCGGGGGGTAATAAACTTCAAAAACATTTTGTAAATGCCCCTGAGGCACCGAGAAAAATGCTCACCTTTTAACTGGTAGTCCTGTTAGGCCGTATGGTCAGCGGCTGATGACCTGGAGTGTATAACTGATGGCTTGCGAGAATCTACCTAAATATCTTCACTAGAGGCAAGCCAGTGCTGACTGAGTGATGAGACTTAATACGCGGTGCTATTACCCATGAGCTGAATGCGTGACTCTAATGTCAGTGTGTGAGACCCAACACCCAACCTCACTGTCCCCCGAGTTCCCTAACCCTTCCTTAACCCTTCCATAGTGGTTCACCAAAGGTACGTTCAGCTCTGCACGGGAGGACTGGAAATCTCTGGCCTGAGGGGCAAACATGACCATGTGATCCTTTCATGGTTCTCCTTCCAGCATTGGCTCCCTTTGTGGTTCCCGTCATTAGGTCACGTGACGACTCAGAGCTGGAAAGTCAGTGCTAAAGATCTTCCCTTTGCCAGGGCGGTGAAGGTCTGAACAGGGAGTAGATGTTTAATGGCCACCATGTGTATAACTGACTGACGGTCCCACTATGACCAAGGTCTCCACTCAGCTCAACATATCGTATTAGCACTGGCCCGGAGGAGCAAATGCCTTCCTGCCCCCCAGCCCAGTCCTCCCCTGACACTCCGTCACACTTAATATACAAGAACAGAGCTTGTTAACAGTTTTAGTGGTCAGTTCAGTCACCCTTCCAATGTACGGTAGTATGATCTACCAAAGTTAGAATCGGCTCTGCAGTGGAGAAA